TCTTTAAAAAAAACGATGAATAATCATAGTGATTTAACAACAAAAAAGCAGTCTTTTCACAATAATAAGATAAAATTTATATTTGCCATTTAGTCCTTTGTGTTCTGTCTACTTGACAATCATTAAAGTCAAAAATAAATTTATGTCATAAAACTATTTCATATTCTTTCCTTTTTTTTATATTTTAATCGATTGTCAAAAGAATTAAACATAAAAGCAAAGCATTTATTATTTGTTTTCAATAAATTTATCAACTATTAAAATAGCATGAATATTAATTTCATTTTCTTTTATTGATATAAAGGAGAGTTGTTTCGATCGTAGATTATAAATACATCTATATGAATAGTATTGAATCTGACCATACTGATGTACTTCAACGTTAATTCAAAACTAAGTATACATATATATATATATATATATCAGATTTCAGTAAAAGAACTCTACATGTTCTTAGTGATTTGAAATTTTTAAAATCAAGTATTTCATTATATTATACAATCTTTACGTATGATGATTTTTTTCTAAAGGATCTTAACAAATTAAAATACAATAATTTGACAATATAGATAATTCACTTTGTACTTTTAAAAACATAACCTACAAATCTCATTTTGTGATAAAAATAATAGATTTTTTGAGAGAAATTCAATTAGAGAAAATCATCGAAGAAAACGACACTTTTTGTTCATTTTGTTCTTTCTTCAACATAATCTCTCAAGAGAAGATTTCTACAAAAGGGCAACAGCAGAATTATTCAAAATGTGACTTGGAAATGAAGCGTTAGAAAACAGAATTTTTTTTAATAATAAACATCGAGAATAAAGTGGTCTGTCATTCTATCAATTACCAACTAACAAAAAGATTTCGTCGATTTAATCAGACACTTTTTTCATCCTTCTTCCTAAAGATTCTTTTTGTCTTTTTTTTGTCACCTATGATATCAATTTGTTTGAAATTAATTTCATTGCGTAGGTGTAACCATAAACACACCCAGAATCAGTAAAATACTGATTCATACTCACATTCATCTCTTTTTACTTTCAATAATATAAATTCGATTTTCCTTTTCATTTATTTAGTTACAATATGCCTTGTTTCTTTGCCGACATTATCTGTTTTATAAAATTTTATATATGTAATAAGAACATAAAACATATCGACTTTCCAAAATATAACAATTAAGCTGATCAAACTATTTGACAAAAAAAGATGTGAGTGGGAAAAATTGATTTGTTTGAACATATTATTCATACGTTATCATCTGAATACATATGGTTGGGAACAACAGATGATTAATATTCTTTATATCTGTATTTATATTCACTCTTCTTCAATGGAAATATCCACTCAGTTGTATAAATAATCATCTGTCTTTTATCAGTTATAGCTCGTTTTCAACAAACGCCATACACTATGACTTCGAGATATTGCTGTAACTCATATATTATTTGGTGAATGTTAATTTATTAAGAAATGTAAATGATTAAATAATTTGATTACATAGAAAAAAAAATTATGATTCGATTCGCAAAAGAAAATGTCATTCTGTCTGTATCAATTAATAAAGCTCAGCACTATTGAGATAAACACCATCACTACTCTCTCCACCGGTAACTAAAACTTTGCCATTTGGTAATGTAGATGCCGTAGGATATTCTCGTGCGATACTCATGTTTGTTGTAGTTGTCCAAATACCTGTTGATGGATTGTATAATTCAGCACTATTGAGGACAACACTACCGGTGGTCTGTCCACCAATAACTAATACATATCCATTTGCTAATGTGGCAGCTGTGTGATCATATCGCGCGACATTCATGCTTCCTGTATTTGTCCAAATGCCTGTCATTGGATTGTACAATTCAGCACTATTGAGGATAACATTACCGGTGGTCTGTCCACCAGTAACTAATACTAATCCATTTGCTAATATGGATGCTGTGTGAAAAGATCGTCCGTTATTCATGCTTCCTGTATTTGTCCAAGTGCCTAACGTTGGATTATACAATTCAGTACTATTGAGATAACTGGCACCTGTGAATCCACCAGCAACTAATACTAATCCATTTGCTAATGTGACTGCTGTGTGATAAGATCGTCCGTTATTCATGCTTCCTGTATTTGTCCAATTGCCTGTTAATGGATTGTACAATTCAGCACTATTGAGAACATTAATAAGAGTGCTGGATCCACCAGTAACTAATACTAATCCATTTTCTAATATGGATGCTGTGTGTGTTCGTCGTGCGATATTCATGCTTCCTGTGTTTGTCCAAGTGCCTGTTGATGGATTGTACAATTCAGCACTATTGAGAATGTTAAAAAGACTGCTGGATCCACCAGCAACTAATACTAATCCATTTGCTAATGTGGATGCTGTGTGACGTTGTCGTACGACATTCATGTTTCCTGTAATTGCCCAAGTGCCTGTTGATAGATTGTACAATTCAGTGCTACTGAGATTACCACCGCTGTTGTGTCCACCAGTAACTAATACTAATTCATTTGCTAATTCGGATGCTGTGTGTGTTCGTCGTGCAACGTTCATACTTCCCGTTATTGTCCATTCTAAATAAGATAGAAAAGTAAGAAAAAAGTTTTACTGCAAAAATAACTTCAAAGTTCTCATGTGCATAATTTGTTAAGCTATTGATGACAGATTAAATGATTTCAAAGCTTCGATAAAGTTCTCTTTATTTTTAAAGTTAAGATATGATTCATTATAAAATGTTAAATCAAATTCATGAAAGATATGCTATACACGACTTCATTAATATCTTTTGAATTCTATCGATGTCGCGAACTGACGAAACTCAAACACTGTCCTACAATTCAATTACGACGAATGTTGATCGAATATCAGAATTTGAGTGAAAGTCATTCTACATTGTTCAACATAGTAGAAATAAGATGTACTTTCATCATGCTGGATGGATGGTATATGCATGTAACAGGATATAGGTAAGAATGAATGTGACTGTGAGTAAGAGAATATAATTGTTGGATAGGACAAGAATATTCATTACTTAAATGAATGCAGATCGAATCAAATCATCAAAAATTGACCGTACTCAGACTTCTGATAGAAAATGTTCCCTAATGTTGTCTATCCAGATGGCGGTCAATCAATAGTGAAAATCAAAACTTTTAAATATCTTCACTTCTAGGAATTATCCTTTAAGTCATTACAAATGATTTATCATAGTACTCACTCGGTATTACTGTTGTTGTTGTTGTTGCTGATGATGTAATTGTTGTGAATGTTATTGATGATATTGTATTTGATAACGCTGAGGTTGATGATGATGTTGTTGTTATTGATGATGATATTGAATTTGATAACATTGAAGTCGGTGATGTTGGTGTTGATATTATAGTGGATTCTGTTTTAGAAAAATGATTTTAGATTGAGACTAACGTATTGGATAATATTTATCTATTTATTTGTTTCTTTTTCTTTAAAAATATATCGACGTTAAATATGAATTGATTATAGTAATAAAATCAGAAATATTTAAATAGTTTGCCAATCTGAGTGTAGGAAACTTCGTCAAAATCGTGATAAAATTGAAAACAAAAATGATATTAGCAAATATCAATAATTCCATTCGTGTTGTGTTTGTGTAGAAAGAAGTGATCTAGTCAACTTATCACTGATATCTAATTTTTTCAGAGATTGACTTTTGATAAATATTCTTTCACATACTAAAAATTCCATTATTGATCTTAGAAAAGCTTTTGATATTGTTGCTTAGAAGTATCATGTATAAGCTCCTATGATAAACAGTAATGATCTACTTCTGTCACTTGAAATAATTTCTCTTATATTAACTTCAAAATAAATAATTAT